TTTTTTTCTCTCTTTAATTTTACTCTCATTGATTGTTGTTGTTAAGCACTTTGATAACAGGTTGTTTTAAATGTGCTCTATAAATAAAGTTGACTTGACTTGAATGTTCCCTGGGTGTAAATAGTTTTAGTCTCGTTTGTCTCTGTGTCCCTGTGAGAGTCTTGTGATTTTTGACGTACCCTGCTTCTCACACCGTGATCACTACAGATAAACATCAACTCCCCTGCGACCTGGAAAGGAATAAAACAAGCAAAGGAAATTGTCCAGACCCTCCATGCAAATGAGATCTTGATCTCAACAGTGTTTTTGTCTGGTTAAATAAAGGAAATAAAACTAAATGAATGAGATGGATGGGTAGTTGCAAAGTGCTCATCCAGTTGTTTCTTTTTTTGTATCACTTACTTTTAAGCCTTTTGTTTTCTGTTTCAATCTCATTTTAGATGTGTTGCTGCCATAAAATTCAAAATGACCTTTTTTTATATACTTTTTTTAATATACTTTTAAAACTTTCGTAGTTGAAACATTTGATATGTTTACTATGATTCATTGTAAATAAATTTGGGTTGGTGGGATTTGCAAATGTTCTGGAGTTCAGCCCTTTTTCTTTTCACTTTCTGTTAGATGGTTGTAAAGTGGTTTTTCTCAACAAGAGTCCTCTGGTCTTGGTGGGTGTGTCACAGACCTGTCAGTCAGACAAGGAGCTGCTGCGAGAACTTCAGTACATCTACTACCAGATCGTCAGCCTTCTCACCCTCACTCAGCTCAACCACATCTTTCAGCACAAGCAGAATTACGACCTGCGCCGCCTGCTTACTGGCTCCGAGTACCTCATAGACAACCTACTGCACCATCTGGAGCGGGATCCTGGTCTGCTGCTTAGCGCCGTCACCTGCCTGCCCCTGGTCAGCTGTGCCAGAGACGTAGTCTCATCCAGCCTACAGGCCGCCAAAGCCAAAAACTTAGTGTTCTCCATCCTGTTGGCTGGTGACCGCCTGGTCACTCTGGTCAGGAAGAAGGACCAGTTTCTGCATCACATAGACTTACACCTGGTCTTGAACCTCGTCGGCTCTTCTTCGTCCTTCCGGGAGGGCGAGGGCTGGACTCCCATCTGCCTGCCCAAGTTCAACACGGCAGGATTTTTCCACGCTCACATCTCTTACCTGGAGCCCAGGTCAGAGCTCTGCCTAATCCTGGTCTCAACCGACAAAGAGGACTTTTTTAACATGTCTGAGTGCAAGCACCGCTTCATGGAGAGGTTGAGCAAGCGCAGCGCCTACCAGGCCCTGAAGGAGGCGCTCAAATGTCCAAGTTACTCCGTGGAGCAGGTTGGCATCCCCGAGCTCAGACACTTCCTGTACAAATCCAAGAGCTCAGGGCTGTACACCAGGTGAGTACCAGTACCTGCTGACAATTTATTTTAAAGTGAAATTATTTTTAACAAAAAGTTAACCAAATGATTAATTGGAAAACATTTGTCTACTTGGTTATTTTAATATCACTTTAGAGTCACAGACTTTAAACTACTAGCTAATTAATTAATAAATGCTGAGTCAGATTTATTTGTTTCTCTGTTTTCTTCAGAACATTTTTATGAAACAAGCTCCACAAGCAGGATCGTCTTCTTAACCTGGCTTGACAAACCTTAAACTCTACCAAGAAATTATGAGTACTACAAAAGTAGTTCTGATGTTTGTTAACTTAGACTAATCTGCTTAAATTTCTGTTAGCATTCATATGAAAAATGACGTTTCGTGTGTTGTTTGACACTTTTCCTTGTCAAAATACTCCTACGAAGAAAAAGAACAGCACAGTTACTCATAAAGAATACATGTTAATAATAATAATAATAATAATAATGTCATCACAGTGTCAGCACTGTATGTTTCCATACAATGGCGAAATTAGTCTCTGCATTTAACCCATCCACCACCAGGTGGTAATGTTAGTATTCTAGTATCACTGAGTTCATGTTCTGCTTCTACAGTGTACATAGTACATGCATTCATACTGATTGGCTGTGGGGGCTTAACTAACTCTTATTATCTGCTAGTTAATGTTATTAACTAACATAGTTTAAACACTGTATTATATTCCCACTGAAAAAAACCCTAAACTTTTTAACAAACTGTTGACCAGAAGAACAAAACAAAATAAATCTAACCTCTCTCTCAAGTGTGCTTATCTTGAACTGACAGATATAGATTGTCCTAATGTGCAATTTTTATTATTATTATTACTATTTTTTAATTTGGCTTTTTTTTTTATTTTTTTTTTATCATCTTCTTCTCTCCAGCTTTCTGGCCCCCTATCGCCCCCTGGTGGCCCCCACTTTGAAAAACACTGGGCTACAGTGTACTTCCTGTGCCCGCCACCTAAAGTGCTAAGTTCTGAGCATTTCATGTGACTGAAGTATCTCCTGGAATTCCAGGATTTACTCAAGGAAAAACTCAGGGAATTATATTTTCATGAAATGCTGTAAACCCTGTCTTAGTTGTGCAAAGCAAATAATTAGGCTTCTGCATATATTCATGTTTCTAAACATTTGTAAGCTCTTCCATGAGCTGGAAATCATGCAGGTCAATAAGCTCTGATCAAATTTAAAAAGTCTAAGAGCTCCTGCGTCTTGACAGTGAAAACTCCAACTGTCAGTACAACTTAGCTGGCTAAATAGACAATCTTGTTTCATTGTGCAACCCTTCTGTCTTCTCTCTCCAGTCCCGAGTTTCCAGTGGTGTACCAGTCTGATGAAGAGCAGGAGAGACTGATGGGACTGTACCAGGACCTCCACAGCAGTTTGCACCATCCAACCAGACCCCTGCGCTCCTTCTATCGCTGCAGTGACACTGAAAACCTGCTGGCTTGGGTAAAAAGACTCAGATTTTTCTGACTTTATACTATAGCTGGTCACTTTATGAAAAAGGATTTTGTTTTTCAAACTTCACAGGTCGAACAGCAACATAACCTCGGTACAAGGTTCCTACTTGTTTTTTAGATTGTAGGTTTTAAGTCTGCAAGTACAGAAGAAGAAAATGAAACATGAAAAGAAAAGAACTTTACAATGATTAAACACGGCAAAATAAGCCGTTAGATGTTTTTTTTGTCCAGATAAATTCACCACAAATATGTGTTCATAAAACATGATGAAAACAATTTCAGTGAAATTTATTATTTTGTTTAAATAATATTTTTTAATGAACTGGACTCGCATAAAAATCTGTAAATAGAACAGTTTTAAATTGTCCTCAAAACATTTTTTTCATTAATCTTACACACATTTGTCAACTCAAGCACAATCACAGTTTATTTTTAACAAAATATTTTTACTTCTTATTATCACAATTGTTTTTAGTTGTGGCACAGTTGGTAGAGCTCTTGTCTTTCAGCGAGAAGGTCGCCGGTTCAAATCCCGGTGTGTGGGCCTTTCTGCGTGGGGTTTGCATGTTCTCTCCGCTCACACAGTGATGGCTGGACAAGTCGAATCTAAATTAAGGATGCACGATATTGGATTTTTGGCTGATATCCGATACCGATATTTTTTATGTACTTTTTCAGAACATAGCCCTCTTATTTAGGCTTATTTGCAACAAAAAATGTGTAACAGCTGTAAGAGCTGTTGACATATATTCAGTAACAGCCATATGATATGCATAGCACTTTAACTTATATTAAATGAAAAGTGTTAAATGTTATTTATTAGCATTAGTCAGCTGCGATGCTGTCTCTCTTGTGGAGTCTTGTTCCAGGTTCCTAGCTGCAGTGTGGATCCTCTGCATTCCTGTGCATGAAGGACAGACTTTTTAAGATCAAAGTTTTTGTCTATCCATTGTGCCGTAAGACTTAATCATGCTAACAGGGCTAACACTTGATGTCCAAATGTCTTTGGTAAAACTCACCCAAGTGCAATCGGCTATTAGCTTCTCAATGACGTCGGAAATGACGGCTTGCAACTCGAGTGGTTACATTGGAAAAATATCTGACTGGGGACGATGTACCGAGGCTCAACGTAGTCCAAAAATCTTGGGACTCTGACATCCTCAATGCAAAAAAAAAAGAAAAACCTTCCACACGGCCAACAGTTTGAAATTTTCCTCTCCGCCATTATTAGATCAGGTAGGTGCACATGACGTCATCACGTTGTTCTGCCGCTGCAGACATCCTTGTCACTGGGTACAAAATACAAAAACAGCATCTTTTATATCAGTGAGCTATTTTAATGGAATGGCCGATGTCCAATATTGAACTTTAACGCTAATATTGGCTAATACCGATACCATGCAGATAATATCGTGCATTCGTAATCTAAATATTTTACTGACAGGACTGAAAATTTAACCCTGGAAACTATAGATTATTGTATTGAAAACTATTTATTAATTATGTCCCTACATAGAAGATGACTCCCCCAAAATGTTACAAAGTAAACCTCCTCATTCAGCTGTTACACAGCAGCAGGCTCCTCATGATGACATCATCATATCTCAGCTGGAATCAGTGTTTCTAAAGACAAGAACATTTTTCATAGAAACAAAACAGACAAGTATTTGAAGTTAAATGATGGATTTAGAATATATGTTGTCCTTTAATTCAGCAACTAGACACATTGTCTTCTGGTTAAAAGCAGGACTCTGTATTTGTTATGTGATGATGCTTGTGATAATTTAAGACTTTAAATATAAGGTATTTTTTTTGTTGCAAGTTTAATAATGAAGTTATTAGTTTGATTCAGTGATCCTTCAATAAAGGGGTAATCCACAATTTTTAAAAACACGAACACAGTGCCAGTTACAGACTTACCGTAAGTCAGAGGAATAGTAGCCCTGTGTGTTGTAACATGATGTGTAGAAGTGTTGTAATGCTGCAGTTTAACACTTGCAAAACACACTGTACATTTGTACAGGTGTGCTTTGAAAGCTGAGGGTGTAACTTTTATTGTTTAGGAAGCTTTTTGTGTCAGACCTCAGTATTTACTTAGTTTACCTTTACTTCACACTGTTTTTTTTTATGCCCGTCATCTTATTTGTAGCTTTTTTTTTCCCCCTTTCCAGGTGACAAGTGGCTTCGAGCTCTATCTTTGCTTCAGCCCGTTGGCGACCAAGGCCATGGCTGTGTCCGCCGTCAACAAACTGCTGAAGTGGATCAGGAAGGAAGAGGATCGCCTTTTCATCCTGAGTCCACTTACATACTGAGTCATTGCTGTTGGCTGACCTCCTGACCCCCCCACAAAGAAACCAGGGGCTTCGTATTCACTGTGTGGCCTGATGCCAAAAACCACATAAGATAATGGAGTAGGAATCACTTCAATGTAGACAAATGATTGTCTGGGCCATGCATTTCTTTAATCCTGAGATATCTCTGTTCAATTCTTAAGTTTGTGATTTAACGGGCTGGGCAATGAAGATAAATTAAAGCAGTATTTTAAACAGGTAGATTTGTTTTTTTTTAGAACTTTTATTTTGCTTACCATGTGAAGGAAGCATTAACTATTGACCCCAAACCGTGCAGTGTTTGTTTGCTCCTGAGATCCTTAATGAAGATTGTTTTACTGTAACAGCTGTCCTTTAATATGGAGTCGCTGTTTGTCTTTTTTTAATGCTACAGGCTGCCTTCATACAAACTACAATAAAACTGGATCAGAAAAATCTGGAAACACAAGTGGCATTATGTTTTGTTTGCTCAGAATATGACAAAACCTCTCAGCCACATTCCTGATGTGCTGTCATAATTTCTAGAAACTTATCATTTTACCTCAGTGCTGAAAAAGGGCACTCCATGAGAGAAACTGGAAAATGAATTTGTTTTGTCAATTAAAAATTTAATAATCTGAGCCTGTTTAATACTCTGTGGCCATTTGTATCTGTTTTCCAATCCAATAATACAGTTTGGTCATTTTGAAGTTGAGGATTCTGTGGAAAACAAGAGCAATTCTTGTCTTACCTGTTGTAGATACCTTTGGAGGATCTCAATTTCGTGGTTGGGTCAACATCAAAGTGATTTTTTGCCATTATAAAACAGCTTACATCTAAAAAAAAAAAAAAATCAAAGCTATTAATGCAAATGCTATTTTATAAACCTTTGCTTCTCTGTCCATTTCTCATTACTGTCATTTTAGTATAAATACAAACCGGATTCCAAAAAAGTTGGGACACTAAACAAATTGTGAATAAAAACAATGCAATGATGTGGAGATGGCAAATGTCAATATTTTATTCGTAATATAACATAGATGACAGATCAAAAGTTTAATCTGAATAAATGTAACATTTTAAAGGAAAAATATGTTGATTCAAAATTTCACAGTGTCAACAAATCCCCAAAAAGTTGGGACAAGTAGCAATAAGTGGCTGGAAAAAGGAAATTGAGCATATAACGAACAGCTGGAAGACCAATTAACACTAATTAGGTCAATTGACAACATGATTGGGTATAAAAAGAGTTTCTCAGAGTGTCAGTGTCTCTCAGAAGCCAAGATGGTAAGAGGATCACCAATTCCACCATTGTTGCGCAGAAAGATAGTGCAGCAATACCAGAATGGTGTTACCCAGCGTAAAATAGCAAAGACTTTTAAGTTATCATCATCAACCGTGCATAACATCATCAAAAGATTCAGAGAATCTGGAACAATCGCTGTGCGTAAGGGTCAAGGCTGTAAAACTCTACTGGATGCTCATGATCTCCGGGCCCTTAAACATCACTGCACCTCAAACAGGAATGCCACTGTCAAGAAAATAACAGAATGGGCTCAGGAATACTTCCAGAAAGCATTGTCAGTGAACACAATCCACCGTGCCATCCGCCGTTGCCAGCTGAAACTACAGTGCAAAGAGGAAGCCATTTCTAAGCAAGCTCCACAAGCTCAGACGTTTGCACTGGGCCAGGGCTCATTCAAAATGGAGTGTGGCAAAATGGAAGACTGTTCTGTGGTCAGATGAGTCACGATTTGAAGTTCTTTATGGAACACTGGGACGCCATGTCATCTGGACCAGAGAGGACAAGGATAGCCCAAGTTGTTATCAACGCTCCGTTCAGAAGCCTGCATCACTGATGGTATGGGGTTGCATGAGCGCTTGTGGCATGGGCAGCTTGCATGTCTGGAAAGGCACCATTAATGCAGAGAACTATGTTCAGGTTCTAGAACAACATATGCTCCCATCTAGACGTCATCTCTTTCAGGGAAGACCCTGCATTTTTCAACACCATAATGCCAGACCACATTCTGCAGCAATCACAACATCATGGCTACATAGGAGAAGGATCCGGGTACTGAAATGGCCAGCCTGCAGTCCAGATCTTTCACCTATAGAGAACATTTGGCGCATCATAAAGAGGAAGGTGCGACAAAGAAGGCCCAAGACGATTGAACAGTTAGAGGCCTGTATTAGACATGAATGGGAGAGCATTCCTATTTCTAAACTTGAGAAACTGGTCTCCTCTGTCCCCAGACGTCTGTTGAGTGTTGTAAGAAGAAGGGGGGATGCCATACAGTGGTAAAAATGGACTTGTCCCAACTTTTTTGGGATTTGTTGACGCCATGAAATTTGGAAACAACAGATTTTTCCCTTAAAATGAAACATTCTCTCAGTTTAAACTTTTGATCTGTGATTTGTGTTCTATTCTGAATAAAATATTAGATGTTGGCACATCCACATCATTGCATTCAGTTTTTATTCACAATTTCTTTAGTGTCCCAACTTTTTTGGAATCCGGTTTGTAAGATAATCCTGCAGGAAATGCCACAGGCTGTACTGGAAATGCTAAAGCTAGCTGCTGCTAATTGTACTTGTAAAACAGAAATCTACATGAATAAATGGATGGCAATAGTATGTAGAAAAATGTTTGTACGATTTTACTGTAATTGAGATTCACTGAGACAGCCACTGATGGTAAGAATTGTTGCCGCCATCTTTTTAGGTGCTATGCCTAGCGCGGTGTATTTACAAATTAAAGCCACACATTGTTAGCGCTGTGCTTTATGTTGTGCAATCAGTCCAGGAATGCAGACAGAAGTCATACAAATACACCTTTTTTAAACTTAAACATACACACGGAAAACAAGTGGTGAGTATTCTGTAATGAACTTCCCATCAAGCCTGGTTGAGCACAGAGCTGGTGCACTACCAGTATCGTAATAAAATTACAAAGTACTACAATCATAACCAGACCAGAACATAACTGCCCTTTAATTTATAAAGTACTTAAATCCAACTAGTCTAACCATAAAAACACTGGTCAGCTGGCTTCCATCCTCCCTTAGACAACTTTATAATGTTTGTGAATGTTTCTGTTCAGTGCCCTGAGATAACTTCTGTTGTGACTTGGTACTACTGTATCTAAATGAATTGAATGGGTTGAATTGGTAGCAGAGCCACGATAATCAACTGTCTGTAGTTAGCAGTTGGCCCATAAACCAATTTCTATATGTGGTCTCCCCCCCCCCCCCCCCCCCCACCCCCCCCAACTCTGGATCTATTGGGCTTAAAATAACACAAACTTCAGTATCCTGATGCATGCTCAATAATCCTGGTAGAAAAATCTAAAAAAGTTAAATCTGGTCCTCTGGCCATTCAAAAAACAAAACAATGCAAAACAAAAAACATTTACATTTATAAATAACATTACATTTTTGTTGTTGTTTTGCTTGGTTTTGTTTTTTGAATGTCCAGAGGACCAGATTGAACTTTTTTAGACAAACTTCAGTATTTACACAATATGTCACAAATACAAACTACATGTTATGCACATTAAAACTATCTTGGTATCTAGTGATAAGATTTCAGTTAATGTGTTAGTAATGTTTTTTTTTTAAGTTAGCAGGTACCTATACCCTCAGTACCCTGTCTTACAGTAAGTAGTCCAGAGAGAGCTACAACCATATAGTCAGTGACTACCTGGTAGTATTCTGAAAGGAAATAAATTGTAATTACAATTTTAACTAATACCATGTTAAATGAAGTTCAGGTTTCAATATTTTTAACAGCGGTGAAACATGAGGCTTTTTAGTTAAGTTCATTTCCCTCTCAGATATCTGTGACCTGCTGCCACGCCGGCAGTAACTCGGGATGCCACAGAGCACCTACCAAGATGGCAACACATATTCTCCCCTCGTTAGCATAGACTAGCTGTTCCAGTGCATTTTTGTTTCAGACATTTTAGAAACTTGAGTTGTTTCACTTGGGTCTTAGACCCACTTTGACTAGCTGTTAGCTTGTTGCTCTGGTAAGAATGAAACTTGATTTCTGAGGTGGGCTGCACGGTGGTGCAGTTGGTAGAGCTGCCACCTCTCAGCAAGAAGGTCGCTGGAACGAATCTTGGCTGTGGGGGCCATTCTGGGTGGAGTTTGCATGTTCTCTCCGTGCTTGCATGGGTTTCCTCCCACAGACAAAAACATGCACGTTAGGCTGATTGGTAACTCTAAATTGTCCCTAGAATGATAGTGAATGGTTGTTTGTCTCATTTGTCTCTGTGTCCCTGTGATGGTACCTGTCCAGGGTGTCCCCTGCCTTTCACACAGTGACTGCTGGACATGGGCACCAGTGACCCCTGCAACCAGAAAAGGAAGAACTGGGTAAAGATGATGGATGGATTTCTGAAATTGTTCAAAGTTAACCATAACAGGTAAGATATTGCCTGTTCATACCTTTTCCACACACTTTACTATGCCAGTTTCTGAATTATCATGTAAACACCATACCTATCAATACACTCCCCCCCCCCCCCAAAAAAAAAAAAAACCCTGTAAATCTGTGTACAGGGTTTGTGGTTTTGTTTAAAGCCACAGCCTCCTGAAGAGTTATCTGCAAAGCTCTGAGGATTTGTTGCAGAGCTTCATGAAATGAGTTCAGCTGGATGAAGACGAGCTGGAAGTCGTCCAAACCGTCTGAGAACTATGAAAACAGCAGATGCTCCAGTACAGGTCGTACAAATTGCTGTCGAACAGAAAACAGAAGAGACGGAGCGGACTGAGGTGGTTGACGCAAAGAACTGAACCTGTCGAACCGAGAGGAGGAGCTGGGTCTGATCACATCACAGAAAGCTGCAGGTCATGCAGGAACACCTCCGGGTTTGATCTGCAAACCAACAGGCTGTAAACGCGAGCCTTTTTTGTTTGTTTACCTTATTTTGCCTCAGTCTGACATAAAATTGTTGCTTCTCCAAGGAGGAAAACGACAGAGACTCACCTGCACAGGTAAGTTGGAACAAACCTACTTTATTTCAACATGGCAATAAATAAATAAACATATAGTCATTTTAACAATTCCTTTTCTTTAGAACTCGAATCATAACCATAAAATGATCACTGCTCCCAAGTGATTTCAAAATAAAACCTTTATACAGACTCCTGCTTTATTTCCCATGAATGACTTGATAAAGTGAGTTTACCTGTGGGTTAAACTCGTCCTGTCAGTGTTGCTCCACATGAACGGATCCACTGAGAGTAACAACCAGTGGAAGATGGGATTACAAAGATAAATGATGATAAAGGCAGAGTGGCACATATTAATAATTAATTCATGATGTTTCTAGTACATAATACGTTCTTGCCTCTGGCAGTGTACACCTACACTGCAACTCTAAATCTCATGAATCTGCTTCAATTAATATATTCCACAAAGTTATGGACAGGTAATATCTTACCTGCTGCAGATATTTGAAGGACCTCAGTTTACAGAAGGTTTTATTCAGACCAATGAGCTAACGACTTGTCGGAGCAGAGTCAAGCTCAAAGTGGATTAAAACAATTCCAGTCACATAGATTTTATCACAATTCAACAGTTAAAAAAATAAGCCTTATACTTGAAGGTAAGATTTCCATTACCTGGTTATTTAAATATATATTTATATGATTGTTTGCAAGAACAAATAGTGGCAGCAGCAGCTAGCTCTAGCACTTGATCTGCTGCCTGGGGCACATCCAAAAGGAATATAAGAAAATGTTTGCTTTATTAACTGTAAAATGTGAAGTTGATATCATTGCACAACATGTTTGCTTAAATCATAGGGATTAACTATTGCAATCAATACTTCTTTCTTGTTAGCAAAATATTCTATAAACCACTGGATGGATTTCAGTGAAACTATCAGAGCGTAACTAACTATAAGCTGTATATCTACAACTCGTTAACTTTTGAAGTCAACCCAATTCAAAACGGTGAACACAACTAATCTACACCAAAGTGCTACAGCTCATTAATGTTTACAGATACTGGGCTTAGATTTGGTGTGACACTCTTTTATAACACAAACTCTAAGCTCAAGCAAGACATTGTAATATCGCTTACTGTTTTTTTTATTCTTTATGAGGTTTGACAAAAGTGGCTACATCTTAGTTTAAAACTGGAATAAATGTGGTGGTATATGAATTTCCTAAAGTAATGCTAGACCTTTAATATGTTCACATGAACCATTTTTATAGAGTTGTTTTAAGATGAGAGCAACTCACTTCTGTCTTGTCCCCACTCAGACGAGCTGTTAATTCATTTATCTGTTCAGAATTAAACGCTTTTTCCAGGCTGAGAGTGTTCAAAGAGCTATGTTCAACAGGTAATACTCACTTCAAAAGATCTGAACTTCCCTTTAAGTATTACAATAAACTTGTGGCATAATGTGGTAGTTTGGTTTGTACTGAAGCAGCTTTAGTTAAAATCTAGATTCAGGACTGTAATAGCACAGTGAATGGAAACCATTTGCTTTATTTGTCACAAGAAGAAAGTCAATCAGTGCCATTACTATGTATACGCATGTCCTCGAACCTTAGACACAATTTCACATGGAGATGAAAATGTTAAAATGTAACTCAACATCGGTGCCGTCCTATGAATTATTGATGCAAAGTCTTTTTTCTTACTTCACATTTTTCAGTGCAGCTGCCTCCTGCAAGAGCAAGGTCTGCTTTCCCAGAAATATGTAACTTTTGACCTATTTGAGTACTTTTTACACAAAATAACTTGACTTAGTTCAGCTTGAAAAGGAAAAAAAAGTTTTTTTTTGTCTCTTGGAAAACTTTAAAGGGTACATGTTGTCTTCTGGCCATCAGTCCGTGCACATCTTTCCCCTCAGAACGGCACGAAGCGGTTGTGACAGGAATGTAAAGTAGTGAGCCTGAGGTTCTGAATACAGCGGTACTGTAATGGGACCAGTTAATGATCCACCTGACGGCGTCTGCTCAGGTGAAGACAGTGTTTGGAGGTGGTTGCTGTACGAACACTGATCAGGATGAGCAGTGGAAACATTTTGATTCGCCCAAATTGTTGGGATTAAGCTGAGCAATGGATCCAAATTTAACTTTTCAGCTGTTTTTTTGTTGTTGATTTAACAAAGAAACTAAATTTGGAGATTTAACCAGAACAAATACAAAGTAACCAGCATGAATGACTGGTTTAGAAATTCCCATCAGGAAGGCTTGCATTTGTTCCCAATAATCACGACTAAATCAGCTCTCTGCAAACTTTACCATTTCTAAACAGTGTTTGTGGTGAGCAATGGGAAATTTGTTCTAACCACACATGCTTTTATCATTATCCCTCAGTTTGATGGATGATCCTAGTTTCAAATGCTCTGCTGGGAATAGTTGCAGCAATGGTGAGCATTACATTGCTTTTCAGAGACAGAGTGTTTACATGCAGCTTGTACTTCAATGTGATGCTGGAGCAAACGAACAATGAACAATTTTAATAATAATAATGTGTTGTCATCACTGGGGATTGAGTCTGGGGCTTTCAGGTCCCAGGTCAGCCTCCCTGCCTCTACCCCACATTATCTTGTTTAGCTTAACCCACAATCTTTTCCACACTCTGATAGCTCTGTGGTCAGTGGTTGTGTCAGGAAGGGGATCCGTCAAAATAAATAGGGGTGCACCGATTGCAGTTTTCTGGCCAATCACCGATCACTGACTTTTAAAAAGTCTGATCTGCCGATTCCGATTTTGGCTGATATCGATTTTGTTTTATAAGCGACACTGTCAGGTGTTATAAGGTCACTATGCACTTTCAATTTTCCAACATTTTATTGAAAAACATACGCTTGAACATTATCCTAGAAAAAATACAAACTTGTTTTAACTGGCCATGAGGTAGTGCTCTGAAATATAAATGAAGTTCAGACAATTGTTGTTAAAACTATAAAAATAGGTAAAATCGGTTTCTCATGCAAGTATCGGCTGATTTCCGCTTTCCCCAAATTAAGGAAATCAGGGCCGATAAATCGGCCGGCTGATTTATCAGTGCACCCCTAGAAATAAACAATTGTCAAATCTTTGTGCGAGTTGGCTCGTTGTAGTGACCTCTTAGAAAAAGATCAGCCGAAAAAAAGAAGAAGCTAAAAATACCCCAAAATACTAAGCAAACAAAAGCTTTACCCTGTTCAAATAGATAAACACTTATTTTTGCTTTTAAAAATGTCTAAATTCCATTTGGTTTGTTTGTTCAACATAATAATAATAATGTGTTGTGTTGTACAGTATGTTCCCATACAATGGCGAAATTGGCTCACTGCATTTAACCCATCACACCTGGGATACACTCAGGTGGGTGGAGCAGTGGGTGGCTTTTGGGGGCACCCGGGGAGCAATTGGGGATAGGGCGTGCTTCTCAGAGACACCATGAGATGTGCAATAACTGGGGATGGAGCTTGGGGCTTTCAGCTCCCGGGTCGGCCACCCTGCCTCTACCCCATCTCGGCCATATATCAGTAGTATGCTGTATAATAAAGTGCCAACTATTTGCCAGGTGTTTTATCTTATTGTCTTGGAGCAGCGACTTCCTGGATTTTTCCCAGATTTTCGGGGCATCTTAGACAGCAGAGCAAGATCTTGTCAAGTTGGATTAACTTGAATCTGGTGTAGCATAAGAGCTGGCAACCCCCCACCTCCACGCACTAGTTTAAGACTCAACTTTCTAGTGTCGAGCTCATCTTGTTCTCCTGCCTCAGGCGATATAAATATACAGATATTTTCAGAAATAACTTTCAATAAGCAGCTGTTTTTGTTGAAGATGTCTGATGTTCATCTAATATATTAATCATTATTCTTTACCTTTTGCAGGTTTTTGTTAGTTGGTGTTCAGGATGATTTTTCTGCAACTTCACACGTGGAGGTAACCCCACATTGCCTGTGCTGTCGCTCCCCCTTGGACCCTGGAGTGGAGATGATCCACTGGACCACAGAGTGGAGGACATGTGTCTGGCTCCAGACTCTGCTAGCCCTTGCTCTGGCCAACTGTCCATCACAGGCCCCCAGCCCAGTTAATTTCTCTTTGGTGTACACCAAACCCTACTTTCAGGCACAGGGGCCCATCCAGAACATAGTGAACAACCCGTTTTACCAGGAAGTGTATGTGGCTTCACAGAATGTGATTGAAGCTGTCAACAGGAGCTTGGAGAAGGTGTGGGAGCTCCCCACTGGGCCTGTAGGAAGCCCAGAGTGTCAGATTTGTGATTTATGTGACATTGACAAGGATTACAACTCTTTAGAGGACACAAACAATCAAGTCTTGCTGTTGGATACTCTCTTTATGTATTTATATTCTTGTGGAAGTTCTCAGTACGGAGTGTGTTATTTTCACCAGCTGAACTCAGATGGAGAGCCTCCTTCTCATTCTAAGTGTTTGTTCAAAAAGCGTGCTAATTCTGCGGCTTATTGTCCTGACTGTGTGGCTAGCCCTCTTGGCACCAAAGTGTCTATGGTAGAGGAGGGTCAGACAGTCTACTTCTTTGTAGCTGCTACTGTCAATGACAGCGTAACCCAGCGTTATGGAAGGAAATCAATATCAGTTCGGAGACCGCTGGGCACAGAGGATGGTTTCTACAGTGATGTGCGAGGCTTGACTGTCCTGCCCAACCTTCGGAGGATTTACCATATCGAATATGTCTACAGCTTCTTCACTCAGGAGTTTGTCTACTTCCTTTCAGTTCAGAGGGAGAGCCCCGATCAGGACTCATCACCATTTCAGACTCGTCTGGGACGTCTCCCACGGAGCGAATGGGAGGTTAAACGATATCGTGAGTTGATCCTTGAGTGTCGCTTTGAGCCAAAACGCAGGAAGAGGAACACACGCAGTGAACCCTACAAGGATGTGGTGTACAATGTGGTCCAGGCAGCTTATTTTGGCAAAGCCGGCAGGGAGCTGGCAGAGGAACTAGGGGCAGAAGAGGAGGATGACATCCTCTATGGGGTGTTTGCTGTTACACATGACAACGGGGTCACAGAGCACGACTCGGCTCTGTGCGCCTTCCCTATGGACAATGTAAACAAAGCAATCGTTGATGGGGTCGATGGTTGCTGCGAATCTGGACCAGAGCAGCTTTCCAGAGGTCTTTGTCATTTCCAGCCTTGTGAGAGTTGTCCCCATGAGGTGAGCCCATCAGTTCACAAACACACAACAATTTCACCTGATCAGGAAAACAGTCAGTCACATTCAGTACACTTGAATGTGACTGCTTTAGGGAGAACTCGTGAAGAGGTAATGCATGTAAAGAAAATATTTCAATTCAGTTTATTTATATAGCGCCAATTCACAACAGAAATCATCTCAAGGCACTGAACAGGAGTATTTACATACATAAAAAATAACAATAAGTAGAAGTCATCAATTTAAATAGTTCCTACTTTGTATTTCCTCATACATCATTATAGTGATGAGGAAATATGGAGTGGCAGAGAAGTATGTTAGACTGGTACAGGACATGTATGAGGACAGCAGGACAGTGGTGAGATGTGCTGTAGGAGTGACAGATAGCTTAAAGGTGAAGGTAGGAGTGCATCAAGGATCGACTCTGAGCCCCTTCTTGTTTGCTCTGGTGATGGACGACTAACAGATGAGGTCAGGCAGGAATCCCCGTGGACTATGATGTTTGCAGATGACATTGTGATCTGTGGTGAGAACAGGGACCAGGTGGAAGAGAACTTGGAGAGGTGGAGGTATGCACTTGAAAGAAGAGGAATGAAAGTCAGTCCTAGTAAGACAGAGTACATGTGTGTGAATGAGAGGGAGGCTAGCAGAACAGTGAGGCTACAAGGAGCAGAGGTCACAAAGGTGCAGGACTTCAAATACTTGGGGTCCACTGTCCAGAAACATGGGGAGTGTGGTAAAGAGGTGAAAAGGAGAGTCCTGGCAGGATGGAGTGGATGGAGAAAACTTTCAGGAATGATTTGAGACAAAAAGGGTGGCTTCAAAGGTCAAAGGAAAAGTTTACGTAAGAGTTGTAATACCAGCTATGTTGTATGGTAAAAAGGACAGGAGAAAGAACTGGAAGTGGCAGAAATGAAGATGTTGAGGTTCTCCTTAGGAGTGACAAGGATGGATAAGATTAGGAATGAGATCATCAGAGGTACAGCACAGGTTGAACAAATGGGAGATAAAGTTAGAGAGGCCAGACTGAGATGGTTTGGACATGTCCAGAGGAGGGACAGTGGTTTGGACATGTTCAGAGGAGAGACAGTGGGTATATTGGTAGAAGGATGTTAGAAATGCAGCTGCCAGGAAAAAGACAAAAAGGAGATATATGGAGGCAGTTAGAGAGGACATGGAGGTAGTTGGAGTGAGGACAGAGGATGCAGAGGACAGAGATGGAGGAGGACGACTCACTGTGGAGAAAAAAAGCCAAAATAAAAAGAAGTAGTAGTCTATTTAAGAAAGCCTGCAGACTGTGTCAGATTTTCACGTCGCTAAATCTCCCATTTAGCATTTGTCCATTTAGCACATGGGTGACAAGGAAGGAAAGAACATCAAGCAGGTTGAGCTCAGATTATGTATTCCCAGCAATACAACTCATCAATTCAGATTTAAAGCTGATTTATATAGATGAATTCAGATTTATACAAACCTCAAATGGAATGAAAATTTGGCTGAGGCCAAGTGAGAGTGCTGGTAATAGTTTTCTGCATCTGTTGGCTAAGTTGTTCATTTAAAAATGATGCCCTGTTTTTCTGGTGTGATTCATGTTTGAATCTTTCTAGGGTTTTTGAACATTATGAACTTTATTGCACAAGATGTAATCATTTTAATGGAAAGGTAGCCCAAATGTCTATTTTACATAGTTTCATGTTTTTTTATATTAGATATTTTGTGTTTTGAGAGTTGTGGTGAGAATTCCTGTTCTGTTTTTTTTTTTTTTTTTTAAACTAAATGACATCCCTCTCCTCTGTGACATGTTCAGGCTCCTCCTGGGAATCCTAAGGTCTTTTACAAACACAACAAATTCGAGGATTATTCATGACTTTCCTCCCAGTGGGATGTGCATCAAGATGCATCCTAATTAGATATCTTCAGTTAACTTCTTTTGATGCTGAGGTATTGTACTCTAATCTCCCCTTAACCAAAGAAGCTCCTTACCTTATTATTAAGACTGAGCTCAGTCACTCTACAGAGAAAGCTCATTTCAGTTACTTGTACCTGGGATCTTGCTCTTTTGGTCATGATCCTGACCAGAGGACGAGGGTTGGAACACATTAGATAGAGCAGTAAATTGAGAGCTTTGCTTTTGACAGAGTTCCTGCATCACCATGTCCTCATTACTGCACGCTACTCACCAGTCTGTCAGTCCATCTCCTGCTCCATCCTGAACAAGACTCTCAGATCCTTGAACTACTTTGCTTGAAGTAAAGACTCCCCTCCGTGCTGTAAGGAGCTTGCCACAATGTTCCTGTTGAGAACTATGGCCTCAGAGTTAGAGAAGCTGGTTTCTTCACACTCAGCTGTGATGATCTTGTTTCCAGTATTGTCCATATAAGGGGACGTGTACTTTTAATATCTATATAAGCTTTTTTTGGTAATATAATGTTTTGTCCATTTGTTGCTCAGCTGAAGTAGAAAATTTGTTTAATAATATGATTTATTCCCAAAGATTTTTGCTTTTCTTAGATTTAAGGTAGATTGACTCTATATTTTGCTGTGAAACACCAACGTCACTTCATCTCTTATGCAGGACATCTTATGAGTTTAAGTTCCATTTTTGTAGGAAAATGCTATTTTTTTCAATTTTGAATGCTCAGAAAAAATTGTAGTTCCTTGTTTTAGACCTTTGATCAGAGAGGACCAAAAGTCTACATCCTTTTTTTTATTGTGCTCTCAGCATCCATCCATCCATCCATCCATCCATCCATCCATCCATCCATCCATCCATCCATCCATCCATCCATCCATCCATCCATCCATCCATCCATCCATCCATCCATTATCTTTACCTGCTTCTTCCTTTTTGGGTCACAGGGGTGACTGGTGCCCATGTCAACACTCACTGTGCGAGAGGTGGGGGACACCCTGGACAGGTCTCCAGTCCATCACAGGGACACATAGAGACAAACGAGACAAACAACCATTCACTCTCACTCACACCTAGGGACAATTTAGAGTTATCAATCAGTCTAACATGCATGTTTTTGGTCTGTGGGAGGAAACTGGAGTACCCGGAGAAAACCCACGCATGCACGGAGAGAACATGCAAACTCCACCCAGAAAGGCCGGGATTTGAATCGGCGACCTTCTCGCTGAGAGGCAGCGGCTCAGCATGTCAATTCAAATATTGTAATTATGAATATAATCCTTATTGTTTTGATTTTTATTATTATTTTTTATTATTCCTTCTCCTACTCTGCTCCTTTTTCCTGGAATATCTTGCAAAAAGATCTGAAGCTCTCGACCTTGACCTCTCTAATGGATTTTAAACAACTGCTAAGTTCATGCATGGCAATTAAGACATATTCTTATTTTTAGAATTTTACTTTGTTTTATAATGTAGCTGCTTTTTAGTTAATTAATTTATTTTTATCATTACTTCTATTTAATTTTCATTGTATGCTTTTTACATGACTGTACCTTGTCTGTGTTCTTTGTTTAAATCAGGTCTCTCTTTTAAATGAGTCATGGAGGCTCAATTCAGTTCAATTAAATTAAATTCAGTTTATTTATATAGCGCCAGTTCACAACAAAGTTGTCTCAGGGCACTTTACAGGAACATTCTCATCCATCCATCCATTATCTTTACCCGTTTATTCCATTTTGGGTCACGGGGGTCGCTGGTGCCCATGTCCAGCAATCACTGTGCGAGGGGCGGGGTACACCCTGGACGGGTCGCAAGTCCATCACAGGGCCACATAGAGACAAACGAGACAAACAACCATTCACTCTCTCAGTCACACCTAGGGACAATTTAGAGTTACCAATCAGCCTAACATGCATGTTTTTGGTCTGTGGGAGGAAACTGGAGCACCCGGAGAAAACCCACGCATGCACAGAGAGAACATGCAAACTCCACCCAGAAAGGCCCCTGGACCGGGGTTTGAACCAAGGACCTGCTTGCTGAGAGGCAGCAGCTCTACCAGTTGCGCCACCGTGCTGCCCCATTCTCATACATAAAAGCCAATTAATAAAGTTCTCTATCTAAGGAATCCCGCAGACAAGTTGAATCTTGGCTTCGTTGCAGTCTCCCATCCTGAGCAAGCACAGTGGCAACAGTGGAAAGGAAAAACTCCCTTTTAAAAGGAAGAGACCTCCAGCAGAACCAGGCTCAGGACAAGCGGCCATCTGCTTTGACCGGCTGGTTGAGAGGACAGGTTGGAGAGACAGACAAACACAGAATGGCAGGTCCAGATGTAGGTCCATGTCAATGGTGTAGTCTAAATTTTTGTAGTGGGTATACTGTGCTTAGAAACCAAAGTACACTGATTAGTACAATGTAATCGTCAAATTTCTCTGATGCTTATATTTAAGTAAATGAACAACAAATTTGTATAACAGTTAGCTTTGTATTAAAAACATGTTATATAATTTATAAAACAGTATCAAAGCAAAACATGTTCAAGTATTAAGTAGTAAGTACAGAATTATACTATAACTCACTGGACAAGCAAATGGAATAAGCAAGCGCTGCAGATATATTGTTACGGAAGTGTCTAACTGCTCTTTAACATATCAGTGCCACATGCATAATGATATGTCATGTATCATTGGGCACTTTTAAGTGGGTATACTGAAATTCTTGAGCTTTTCTAGTGGGTATACTCGGTATATCCACGTATTGCGTAGACTACACCACTGGTCCAGGTGTACCTGAAAAACAAAAAACACATGTCAAGGATAGAAAAAATAATTATAAACACAAAACAGGTTGAGCAGAGTGAAAAAAAATGTGGTCAGCTTGTCCTCCAGCAGTCATAGCTCAGGAAACCCAAGCCAACCCTAACTATAGGATTTATCAAAAAGGAAAGTCTTAAGCCCAGTCTTAAAACTGGACAATGTGTCAGGCTCATGGACAGAAACTGGAAGTTGGTTCCACAAGAGAGGAGCCTGATAACTGAAAGATCTTCCTTCTATTCTGCTTTTGGAAACTCTAGGATCCACAAGTAAACCTGCAGTCTGAGAGCGAAGTGCTCTGTTAGGAAAATATGGAACAACAAGATCTGTAATATAAGATGGAGCTAGGTTGTTGAGCACTTTGTAGGTTAAATGTAAGTTCAATGAAACTAACTTGTATAAATAAATATTGAATGAATTATGCTACTCATTGTCATTGACGTATTCAGATTCTTTTTTTTTTTGTCTGTGCCTGAAGCTAACTTTAGAAACTTCTCCAATCAGCACCAGAAAAAGTAAAAATGATATAGTCTTGGATTTTTCAGTTGCTGTATATCTGTGAAACTTCACTTGTTTTGTAATAAATAAAGGCTTGTTTTGTTTTTGAAGATTGGCCCTTTAGGGCTGTGACCTTTTTGATTCTTTATGCAAGACACCCTCTCCATCCACCTGCACCATCAGAACTGCATCATGCGGTCATCTATCACAGCCTTTTAATGTATTAACTAATTACATTACTCTAACAGACCGTGTCTGCAGACACACAGGGTGATCATGATCACCCTGGTGACAAGTACAAGTCACATCGTGTCCCCCCAGGGAAAAAAAAGGTCGAAATACTTAATACGTCTGACTATTTCCAAGGTGCAGCTGTTATTGTGTGATAAATCAGAACCATTTATCTCACCTTGTATTGTTTTTGAACAAAGTTCACCCATGAATTGTGTTGTATTGTGTTGCATTGTGTTGTATTGTGTTGTGTTTAACTCATCAAAGCACAGACAGAAACACTTACAGGAATTTAACCTTCATCAGCCTTTAGCAGCAGATGGAGTTTGTTTGCTCAGTCATCAGGATGAAGGATTTGTTCCATTTTAGAAAATATTTAGAGCATTTAAAATTGTTCTTGAACCTGGAAACTGTCACACAACATTGTTTTATCTGTTAAAAATACAAAGATGAGATTTTTTTTTTTACCCTGCTGCTAATCAAGTTACAGACTTTCTCAGCTTTCAGATCTTAAATAATAAGGACTTCTTTGCTTTCTTCTTCTTTGGCTCCTGTCTGTGTCCTCTGCTGCTGGGGGGGCCTGTTGGCAGAGCATGGAGAACAACGCTACGTGTAGAGACCACCCCACCATGGTGTCAAAGCCCTACTACAGGGTGGACCTCTTCAACAGGCAGATGACCAACGTCTTGCTCACATCTCTGCTGGTTACAACTATTGAGAACAAAACTGTTGCCCACATTGGCACCTCAACTGGACGTCTGCTGCAGGTACACAGCAATGCAATATATATATATATATATATACATATATATATATATATATATATATATATATATATATATATATATATATATATATATACATATATATATATATATATATATATATATATATATATATATATATATAACCATTTAACCATTTAGGTAAATTTTGTATTTAAATTAGTGAGTGTGGTCTGTTACTAATGATTGTGTCTGTGTTGGCAGCTTGTACTGACCAGATCCAGCCCTGTTATCTTTGCTAATTACTCCCTGGTAGAAAATCAGAGGGTGTCGTCGATTGCAGCCGTGTACTCTTCTGAGTATTTACTATTTGTGGTCGGAGACAAGGTACAGCCACAATGTACTCCAAATCAGATTTTGCATACCTGTATTGAGTTACGTTGATTGTCACTGTACAAAGTAAAGCACTTGGAGTAAAATTTCCTCTCGATGTTCAAAGACCCGACAGTCGGGTCCTGTTACACTGAAACTGAGCCATCTTTTTGTGATGCTTTGGAGAGGTGCCCGAGTGTTTGCAGTCTGTCTGGATGGCTATTAAGTGGTGCTGAATTATTAATTATTTGGATAAGCCTCATTACCCTGGCCTCTAATAAGCTAGGCTGTCATGCAAAGGAAGAAGAAGTTGTGAAATGTATATTTTGAAAGATTGATGAAAAAAAACAACATATTTATGGTAAAATAAAGTTTTTAAATCTTGTATTTAGTTGAAGGCAGTAAAGGAACGTCTCATGCCACTTGCTCATAATAATAATAATAATAAAAAAACAAACCATAAAGACACATTTTTCCCACTGAAATAGAAATAAACAGGAATGACCAGTAATATTGTTAGGTAAGTGTGGCTGCCATCTTGCTTGGTGCTACACCCTTCACTGTGTAATGTTTACTGCCAAAGCCACTCACTGTTAATGTCTTGTGGGTAATGTATGCTGTGTAGTCTGTCTAAAAAAAAAATCTATAATTTATTTATTAATTAACAATTGCTTTAATTTACTTAAATAAACATAAATTGTGTATACTGTAAACAAAAGGTGACAAGAATAGACTGTAATGAGTCTCCCCAGTCAAAAATTAGCGGGGACAAAATGTAGACCCACACACCATTTACCTTGTACTCATGGATCAATCATTAGACCAAAATATATATAAACTAGACCTTTACAGCTGTCACTTCATAGCACTTAGTTAATATTCAACTCAGTGATAAAACGATCAGTGCTGTTTATTACATTACATTATTATAGACCAGTTTATTACTGCACTTTAAATGGTATTTAAGTTTCATCTATTTAGTCTAACCAGCGCTCTGCTGCCAGTGTCTTTAGGTATTTGTACTTAGACTAATATAACATGCTTATTTAATGGAGGCTTTTTACACATATTTCTGGATTTCAGTATTTAGATGTGAATAGTTGAGATTTGTCTATTATTATATTATTATTTTAATATTTGAATATTTGTTAACTTTAAGATTTTATCAATAAAAATGTAAAACAGGTTTGTAACTTTATTTATGTTGTTACTAGTTTTTATGTTAATAATACTGTTGATACACTGTCAGTGGTTATATCTACCATCAGTATCCTGCTTTACAGTAGTTATAACAGTCTACAGAGTGACCACCCCATAGATATTAAACGTGTATTATAGTACTGCTTTATCAGAAAACACAAACACCACATTCTTTGACGTTCACGTTCTGGTAATAAAAACAAATAATTTAAAAATATTTGGCTCCTTGGCTGAGTTAATGTTTTGTATCAGGCATTTATGTTCACGCTCATATCATGTAGAACCTACCAAGATGGTGCCATAAACTCTTGGCTTGTTAGCATTGACTTCACTGTGAATGGTCATTTTGCTGTGTTTCTATTTCAGTATTTTTACCCATCTCCTTTTGTCGTATGATTTTTTTTAAGACAAAAAAGGTTTTAAGTTGCAAAGTTCATCCCAAAGATAGTGACACTTTCCCGCAGACGAGCTGTTCCTGAGCTTCCTTTTTCCTCACATACATATCTACATCAGCATGTCCTCCATCAATCCATCATCTTTACTTGCTTCTTTCTTTCCACCGTTGACTGAGCATTTGTGTGTGGGTTTATTTTCAATAGAAAGGTTGAGTTGTGTTTGGGGTGTGAGTAAAGCGGGGCAATTTGGTGATTTTGCTTTGAAATGTACAAATATACTAAGTGAAATAAATTCCAAAAATTTGTTGTTTAGATGATTCAGGTGCCCCAAAGAGGGCCAGGCTGTCAGCACTTTATGACCTGTGCCATGTGTCTGTCAGCCCCAAAGTTCATGGGCTGTGGGTGGTGCTCTGGAGTGTGTTTGTGGGAGAGCGACTGCCAAAGCCTCTGGAAAAATGAATCCTGCCCACCTGGGCTAACAGGGGTGAGTTTTGGTCTTTAATCCAGGACAGGAAACTTTAAACTATGAGTGTTTAATGTGATGCAGAAACATATATATTTCTAAATGTAGTTCTTCCCACGGACGGCTCCTCCTGATGGTCAAACAGAGTTAACCTTGTGTGGATTTGAGTTCCAGTCACGGTTACGACCTTCTATCACCTCCAGAACCCACCAAGTTCGACTGGGGCAGACTGCGTGCTCCGTGATTCCACTCAAAAGCAACAACACACAGTGAGTAGTGTCAGGAAGCCTGTTCCATACACAATATATATACTGTATATATTCAATTCAATTCAATTCAGTTTATTTATGTAGCGCCAACTCAAAACATCAGTCATCTCAGGGCACTGAACAGAAACATAACATTTATATATAAAAATAATACATTAACTCATATATATATATATATATATATATATATATATATATATACATACATATATATATACACATACATATATATATATATACACATACATATATATATATACACATACATATATATATATATATATATACACATACA